AGAAGAGAATAAATATAGAATAGGGAATAGAATAGAATAGAATAGAATAGAATAGAATAGAACAGAACAGAACAGAATAGAATTCTTTATTGGCCAAGTGTGATTGGACACACAGGGAATTTGTTTTAGTGCAAATGCCATCTTCGTACTTCTTTACTCTGCAACAATGCGATTTGGGGCCTACCGGAAGCCTTAGGGCTCCAGTTTGCTTGGGGCAGGATTCTGACAACACTGGGAAGCCAAATCCTAGCATACATCCTCTATCAAACCAGGCTGTTTCATCCAAGACAGACTTACAGAGGAGCTGATAGGAGCACAGAGAGTTACAAGGTCTTGCTATTTTGCTTGGCCTTGCTGCAAAATAGTAGCAAAGCGATCAAGATATGATGCAAAAGGAAGTTTTTATTTTTCAGACAGCTTGCCTCAGAATTAAAATGTTGATTAAGGATGAGGGATTGGTCCAAAGTCACCTAGCTTTCTTGCATAGGGCCAAAAGGAATCTGGAAGTCAGAACAAAATGCAAACAGGTTGAATTAATATCTAAACATTAATTAAAGAGCTTCTGCAATAATTATTATTTTCTGGGAATGAAATAATTTTCTGATTCCATCTGACTAGATGGGGTTCCGCAGGTCACATCCCCCAAAATCTTGGCTATTAGGGCTACCATATCTGGACTGACAAATCATGGGTGGCCATTAGATGGCAGAAGAGACTTACGGAAAAATGTTTGGCTTTGTGCTGCCATCTAGTGGGCACCCCAAGTGGTGCAGGCCAATTGCTCAACCTCATCAATTCTAAGAAGCATGAATGCCAACTCCCAGAATCCCCCAGCCAGTGGGGAATTCTGGGAGTTGCTGAAGTTGAGAAATACTGCTGTATTCCTAACATATCCCTGAATGGCTTCATCCCTGAAAAACAGCCACAATCGTCTCAACTTGGCTTCCTTGCCTTCCAGTGACTTTTAAGTCTCATTTCTGCACTAGCTAAAGCAATTTGGGTCCTTCCCAGGTTGCATTTTAAACATGGAAACGGGACACCATAGCAATGCTTGAAATTTCAGTCCAAAAAAAGATGAGTCCATTCCGTTTTAAACACAATATACTTCTTGTCCTCTGAATAGAGTCTATTTTTTTTAAGTAGTTTAGTAAATAAATCTGTTGGCAACAGATGATATTTGCAGCTGGCATAGGGTTGGTAATATGTTGCCTTGTCATTATGGTGCTAATAACTATTTCAATAATAGTAATAAAAAATACTTTGACTTTTTGGGGCGAGAAGAAATCACAAGATTTGTTCATGAAGATTACCTTCCTTTTAACACATTTTAATGTAGTTTATTTCAGCTAGTTAGAGTGGAACAGAAGGAAAGTCTGTTTCTTTGCCTTTTTTCTAAAGGTTTTCCCCCTTCCTATTTGGCTCTTATTGTAAAAATGTTCTGCATCCTTTACAATACTCATTTATACCCATTTATAATATTGTTATAATAATATTTTATTATAACAATTTCCTACCCCAATATGTTTGCATAAAGCAGGCCAAAAAAGTAACCGTGGAAAGAAAATTGGCACCAAAAAATAGATTATACAGCTTTCCAAATTCTAAACACGCTTTTTTTAAAAAAGGTGCTAATATATTCTTGATGAGTGTAAGATTACAAAAATCCAAGCTGTAAAACTCAAGGAAGTGTTATTTTCAGATTCCAGACCTAGTTCATTCACACAAACAGAAAACAGAATTTTTCTCCCAAGAGATTGTTTTTCTATTTTTCTTCTGTGTAAAAAATACACCTACAAAATACACCTACAAAAAATACACCTATGTGTGTTTTTACAACAATGTTTTTATGAAAACAAAATGCATTTAAAGTTTGTAAACTCCTTTTGTGTGTGTGTGTGTGTGTGTGTGTGTGTGTGTGTGTTTCACTCTAGGTCAGGCCAAAATGTTTTTTAAAGTTTATCTAATGTTTGGCAGATTAGAGAAACTTTGTATCTTGGAATAATGTGGCTTGGGACAGAAATGATAATCGCCATCATTAAAATATCTCAATCTGGGATGAAAAAGGAAACTCACTTCTTTAATAACCTGACAGGTTTAGAAAGACGATCAAACTATGTTACAACACTCTTTAAAACAGTGTTTGTCAACCTTCGTAACTTGAAAATGGGTTTCCCAAAAGTGCGTTTTCCAAAAGGAAAAAAAAAAAAATTTCTTTGGGGAAAAAAAAATCACTTCTCATCCAAGAATCTTCTTCAGTTGGATGAGAAGTAAAATGTTATCAAAGAAAAAAAAAAACACCACCAAGAAAGTCCAGTTGCCTTTTGAAAAAAGCACTTTTGGGTCAACCATGACCTAGATGATTGAGACTTTCCATAGGCATTAAAGCAGAGGTGGCATTCAGCAGGTTCTAGCCAGTCCTGGAGAACCGTCACAGTCTCTTTCCCCTGCCACACCCACAGAACCGGTAGTAAAAAAAAACACAAATGAATCCCACCACTGTTTGAAGATGGGTGAACTTCAACTCCCAGAATTCCCCAGCCACCCATCGGATTGGCTAATATCACATGCCCAGAAACCTCTGCACCTCCTAATTCCCAAGATTCGTTTTTCTCGCCATGTACATCCATACATCTGAAGTAGCCTGTATTGTTTTTCTGTGTCATATATGTGAGTATATGCCTACTTTTTAAATTTATTTCATGGTGTTTATGCATGCAATGAAATTTCATTTTAATGTATGCCAATTAGTGTACATTCAAAGTGACAATAAAGTTGAAGTTATTACTATACTATACTAGCTATACTAGCTTTATACCAGTGCTTTGCTACGAAACTTTGTGGTCGGGCTTAGTTTTTGGGGAGGAAAATAAGGGGGAAAAGTTGTGCCTCTGCCTACCAGCATCCATCAGTATTTATCTGGCTAGCATCTTGTCAGTGTGTGAGAGAGTTGAGGGCTGTTTGGAAAGTGAAACAGCATTTGCTGTGTGAGCAAGAAGGAGACAGCAAGGAGCCTGGGCTTGGCTTAGCTCAACTGTTCTGTACTAAAGCTGCTTGCTGCTGTGAAACTGAAACTCCTCTGCTTGTGTTTTGCATTTGGAAGAGATTTCTTTTCAGGTGGGGAGGGGGAGTAGAACTCCTTAGCATCAGAGCATGTTAAAAATAATAATATAGGAAATACTCTAAATGCTCTGATGGTCATTTTGAAAAATCCTATATATATATATATATTGTGTGTGTGTTTTCTTAAGTTTTCACAGGTATTTACATGTATGGTATTCAGGTTTGTTCGGGTATTTTCCCACGTCATTATAGTTGTGCTTTTAAAGTTGTAGCAACTTTTCGGCAGAATCTCATCTGCCCTCATGAGGGCAGATGAGATTCTGCCGAAACCTTTTACAGCTTGAAACCAGTTGAAAACTAGGACTTTCTTGGATTAGACCTTCTGGAGAAGTTTTACATCTAGTGCTTTTAACGGGAAGACACAAAAGGGAGAGGTGTGGCACGGGAGTGGGGAGAAAACACCATCCCTTTCCCTCCTAAATCAGAGTTTTTCAAAAGTTGGCCACTTTTCAGATATCTGGACTTCAACTCCCAGAATTCTTACAGCTGCCAAGTTCACTCCACATTAAAAAGGGGCGTGTAAAGGGGAGGGGGCGCCACCAGGGCCAACCGCAAGATCTGACCGACGCCACGTGGCTTGCACGACTGTATCTCACGCCCACAGTGCATGCCGGAGAAGCCCCCCCCTCCCACCCCAATTGTCAAGGGCCAGCTGACGCTTTGCACTCCCGTCCGCCTTGCGCGCTTTTTTTTGCCATTGGGCGCTGCTCCTTGCGCGTTGCCCTGATGCCAACTCGGCTGGCCCGGGTGTGCCTTACTGGCACGGCTAAGGACGGATGGAAGCAAGGCCATTTGCAACCAAAAAAAAGTGCGCTCAACTTGGGTTAGCACGCTAAGAGTTGCATTCACACGATCCGCCTCCGAGACTAACGCAGCAGATTGTGGAAAGTCGGCCTAAGGTGCCTAGGTGGGTTTTGGCAAGCCAGAACGCGTGCATTCGAGTCGAGAGGGGCAAGGGTCGTGTGAATGCAGCCCAAGCGGAACACCGAAGGGCAGTCTTCCCCCCCACCTTGCCAGAGGGTTGCATAACGGCCTTTCCTCCCTCCCAAGCAAGCTGCCACGACCGGGCCCTCTCCGGGCTGACGTCTGTTCGCCTCCACCCATCGCTACATCCGTGCCAACCTCCCTCTACGCCAGCCAGTTGAGTTTCTGTTCCCTCCGATCTCCTTTCTCTCCTCCCCGCCCACCCGAGACCGCAGGCGGGCCAGATGCCCCCGCGGGGGCCAGGATCAATCCCTCCCAAGCCATGCGGACTACAACCCCTATGGTCCCCAGCCTAGCAAAATCCCAGCAACACCCCCCCCCCCCCCCCCTGCCCTACGTCCGCTCCCCGAGAAAGCCCCCACCGTGCCCTCCGTGGAAAAGGACAACAATGCCCCCCTCGCCCCTCCTGAGCCGCGGGACTCGAGTGGCCGCTTTCCTCCGGAGGGGCGCCGGGGGAGGGTGCAGCCCTGCCCAGCCCGATGGTGTTTGTTTTGCTCGGCCACGCGGTCGCCTCCCTTCCCCTCCCCCACCCCCGCTGCACCCTCCTCCCGAGTCACACACACACACCTACAAGACACGCACACGCACACACCCTCCTCCTCCTCCTTCCCTCCCCGCACCCAGCCGAGACCACCCCTCTCCAAGCGCCAACCCTCTCCAAGCGCCAGCCCCCTCCCCAGGGCGCGGGGAGGGCTCCGCGGACGGGCGTGCCAGCTGGGCCGCCCCCGCCTCTAGCCGACCCCCCCGTCGACCCCCGCCCCCAAGCCGCCCCCTCCCAGCCAGCCCGTGCGCAACGCCGGCACCCCCAGCCTCGCCAAGCAGGGCGCAGCGGCGGCGGCGGCGGCGGCAACGGCAGCGGGGCGGCTCCCCCCACGGCCGCGGCTCCGCCCCGGAGGCCGGCGGGGGAGTCGGCTGGCTGGCTGGCTGGCTGGCTCGCACGCTGGCTGGCGGGGAACATGGCTGAAGTCGGCGAGGACGGGCGCGGCGGCGGCGGCAGCGGGGCCGGAGCCTTGGTGGCGCTGCGCTCGGCGCCCTGCAGCCCCGCCGCGCCCCAGCCCTTGCCTCCGCCGCTGCCTCCACCGTTGCTGCTGCCGCTCGTCCCCGCGCCTTCCTCCTCCTCGGCCTCCTCTTCCTCCTGCGGGGTGCCGCTGGCCCGGCTGCAGGGCCGCGACTTCGAGTTCCTGATGCGCCAAGCGGCGGTGAGCATCGGGCGCAACTCGTCGCAGGGCGCGGTGGACGTGCACATGGGCCACTCCAGCTTCATCTCCCGCCGCCACCTGGAGCTGGCCTTCCGCGCGCCCCACTTCTTCCTCCGCTGCCTCGGCAAGAACGGCGTCTTCGTCGACGGAGCCTTCCAGCGGCGGGGCGGGCCGCCCCTCCAGCTGCCCCCGCAGTAAGTGCCGCGCCGGGCGGTGGGAAGGAGGACGAGGAAGGGATGGGGATAGTGGCGCCCGCCGCGGGCCGGGTTGGAGATGCACCTAGGAGAGCCCGGGGGGGGGGGGGGGGGGGGGGGGGGGG